TTCATACTTTACCGGTAACATATATATATATATATATATATACTAGGGTGCTAAGCTCCCTGTTTGCTACCGCTCACCAACCCCAATAATTGCCTCGCAATTATTGTCGTTTCTTGGCAGAACATAATACATGCACATATATATGTTACCGGCAAAGTATGAAATCCGGCATTGTATAGAATGACTAGGCATTGTATAGAATGCCTAAAATTAGCCGGCAAAGTATGAAATGATTTACATTTCACACATTTCTTAGGCATTCCATAGATTGCCAAATGAGAAACCGGCAAAGTATAAAATACGTCTTCCATTCGTTTCAAATATCACTTGGCAAGGCTCGTGACTTTTAACGCGTGACTTACAACGCGTGGCTGGTGACTTTGGACTTATAACAACAAAAAAATTTTTACTGTGCTACATGGGAATGGAGGAATTTAATGAAATTTGCATGGAAAAATTTAATGAAATGTAATTAAAATGTCATTCAAGCCTGCCATGTTGCAACAAATAGGTTAATTTCATATTTTTTGTATGAAAATTTTGTTTCCCTTAATAAGAAAGGCTTAAATTTTGTTTTACATAACTTTTTAATTTTCTTTCCACATTTTGAATAAATGTTTTTCAATGGCACTCTCAGTATTTTTTCAGAATAACATTTTTATTTTTGAGAAATACCTGTTTCTGTGAATGACCGAAATCGGTAGTTTTACATTTATTCGATATTTTAATACTTACTGACGATAGATTAGAAGAAACATCAGTGTAGGGTATACCGGGCAAATGTATATCGAGCAATGCCACTTAACTAGAACTAGCATGACTGGACCTTTTGTAAATGTCCGAAATATATACTAGGTCTAGTTAAGTGCCATTGCCCGGTATACATTTGCCCGGTATATCCTACACTGATGTTTTCTTAAGGTCACGGTTCACTGCCCGGTATACATTTGCCCGATACTCTACACACTGATATTTCTTCTAATCTATCGTCAGTAAGTATTAAAATATAGAATAAATATAATTATATCCAAGAAAAAAATAAATATCAAATCGGATGTAATAAATATTTCGAACACTCACCAAAGCGACTATGTGATTGTCAACATTCACCGGCGAAAGTCAACAACCACCGATTTCGGTCATTCACAGTAACATGCACATCATTTACATAATAACCTCATCAGGACGTTTATTTCATACTTTGCCTAAATAGCATCCGGCATTGTATAGAATGCCTAGGCCCTTTATACAATGCCTAGGCAAAGTATGTAATCCTTCTCACATTTCATACTTTGCCTAAAAACGTCAGGCATTCTATACAATGCCTAGTCATTGTATACAATGCCGGCGTTTCATACTTTACCGGTAACATATACATATATGCACTAAAAGAAATTCTCTTTGTTCACGCTTGTGCCTCTACTTCCCGCATCCAAATATTATTATCTATTAGTATTATAAATATTTAGATCTACTGGTAAGCAGAAGCAATTTTTCTAAGTAATCATTTAACAGATCTCTTTAATTTTAATTTATTGCAGTATATTAATGTTATGTGCGCAAAAATAATAATTGTAAAACGGTTTATAAGATTTGACTACCTTTCTACCTAACTTTATCTTTAAATGTAGCGCAGAATTACATTATAATAATAATAAAATAAAAAAATAACAATTCTCTTAGTTTTAAACTCGAAAATTGAATTAAAAGCGTAATAATAGCATTACAGGAAATTAACTTTAAATTGCGGATACAAAAATTTTTATAGAAAAACAATACCTTTACGACTGTTATTTGTTTTATGCTAATGACAACTAAAATAATATGGAAATGATCCTCATGTGGTCTCAATTTTGTTTGGCTGCTTTGTGCGTCACTAACCTCAAGTCTTCTGTGACTGGTTAGGTGTTATCATTTCACTCACTTCCCATATTCCCATATTATATATATATAATAAATAAATAAATACAAGAAAACACTAAGAAAGTTAAGAAAAACAATAAGTATCATTTATTGCGCTTAAGCTGCAAGTAAACAGCACTCATTAGATAAGTTCAAAATGAAGAATAAAACAAAGAAAAATTATAGACATATGAAAAAAAGGGGGT